TTCAGCTATATATAGTAAAGCAAAAACTCAAAACGACGTCATTTAGGGCATAAGGCCAAAACGACGCCGTTTCAGCCAAGGAGGATTCGCATGTCAACCCGTGACCCGACCCGAGATCCGCGCACCCGACTCGCGACCCATTTCCTTCATCAGCCTCTGACTGGTCTGACTGGACCGGAACCGACCGCCCAGACCGAGCCGAACCGTCGGACCGAACCGTCAAACCGAACCAGGCGTTGACCGATCCGGTTCAGGTAAAAATTTTTTTTTTTAATTTTTATATATTATTTTATTAATATTTATGCATATTAAAATATCTATATTTGTTAGACTAATTGATGAAATTGTGGTTAATTTTTTTTATGTAATTATGTTAATAAACTTTAAAAACAATAATATAAAAATAAATTTAATAATAATACTAAACTAATAAAAAATAAGAGAAAAGGAAATTTTTATCCGACGATGAGATTCAAAGGTATTTCGAGTAGTGATGTCTACGAAATCTCTAGGTGAGAAGATTTTTTTTAAGTACTACCAGTGTATTGGAGTATTTATAAAAATTTTCAATACAGTAAAGATTTTCTTTTTTAAAATAATAAATAAAAATTGATTAATAAATTAAAAATATAAGTAATAAAAATAGGAAGAAAAGAAATTTAATCCAATGATGGGATTCTAAAAGTATTCCGAATAGAGATGCTTTAAGAAATCTCTAAGTGAGAAGATTTTTTGTAAAATATTACCAGCGTATTGGAATATTTATAGAAAATCTTTAATATGATTAAATTCCTTTTTTTCTTCAAAATTTCAATTAAAATTTTAAAATTAATAAAACAATTAATAAAATTTTTGAAAAAGAATAAAATGTGTGCATCAATATGTTATTATTTGCATTGCATACATGACATAATTTTTTTACGAAAAGTAAATTTAGACCTCCCAAAGATGAGATTCTAAAAGTATTCCGAGTAGAGATACTTTAAGAAATCTCTAGGTGAGAAAGAGTTCTTTTAATGTTACCAACGTACTGAAACATTTTAAGAATTATTTCAATAAAAAGGTTTTAATTTATTTTTTCTCGAGAATAAATTTTTTTTAACGACATTTTCTTACGAAAAATAAATTCGAGCCTCCAAAGATGAGATTCTAAAAGTATTCCGAGTAGAGATGCTTTAAGAAATCTCTAGGTGAGAGAGAGTCTTTTAATGTTACGAACGTACTGGAATATTTTAAGAATTATTTCAATAAAAAAGTTTTGATTTATTTTTCTCGAGAATAATTTTTTAAAAATAAATAAATAAAAAAAATTAAGGAAATTATTTTTTGAATACTGAAAATAAGGCTGTTTTTATCAAAATCAAAGGATAACACGTTGTTAATTGGTACCGTTTTTAACGGGCACTGTGGGGGTGCTAATCCTTCCCCACACGTAACCGACTCCCGAACCCAGACTGTTTCGTAGACTGTAAAATTATCTTTTTAATAAATTTTAATTAATTTTAAGATTTCATTAAAATGATATATTTTAATAGGTGATTAATCCCACATAGCCAAAAAAGATTGGTGGCGACTCCATTATATTTTTTATTTGGTTTTCAAATTCGTCGGGCGGACGCAAAACCATTACGACACTTATAGTTTGCTTGTTGAAGAGAAACTTCGTTCATTTCGTCCCATTTAATCCTTTCAGTTTATTTTCTAGCTACATAAATTTTTGAAGCATAATTTGTGACTAAATTATCTGCTTGATTCAGCGTGGGAAACTTACAAATTTAATTAATAAATAAACTATAGACGATATAATCGGGATAGAAGTGGATAGAGTTCGAGGTAAGGTTGGGATGAGTCCCCATCCGTGTTAAATTGTGTGCAATCCTACTGCAAAGGTATTGATTCTGAAATTCGCACCAGAGATATACTAGAAAGCTGATCACTCATAGCTTTCATTTTACATAGAAGTACATAAAAGAAACCCCTTTTGAGATGCCTAAACAGCTTTCATTTACCATTCCCAATATCATAAAGTTAGACAAGTTTATTGCTCACCAATGAAAATGATTCGACTGTTCCCTTTTTTTGGCCAAATATTAAATATTTGAAACTTTCGAACTACACCTGCAAGAAGCTAACATATCTATCTAATTTTGTAGATTTATTCGTCAGCTGTTAACTAGCTGCAAGATTCTAGTTTCCTTTCATATTTTTCTTTGAGTTATCTACTAATCTGATATTTCTTAAATCTGAATGGTTTGTCATCCTAGTTGTACAATCTAGGTAATGTATGATGGGCTGAAGTTTGTGTCTGATGCATAGTCATAGTCTAAATCAGCCATGGTTTCCTTGGGCTATTTTTTTAGTTTGTTGAGTAATTGCTGCTGCTTTATGATGGATAAACTCTCTAATAATACCCATTTTAAGTTACCCTGTTAGTATATATTATAATGTATGTACTGCTCCACATTCTTATGTAAGCTTGTAACAAATTGAGTTGCTCATTACCACTGGCTGTTTTCTGGTTGAGACTGTACAAATTGAAAAATTGAAGGCATGTGTGGCTTAAACGTACTTATTGTGATGGGACTGACCTTGATGAATTGGATTTATTCTCAATCAATGAATTAATTGAAACTAAATGGCAGAAACTAGATGAATGAATTTAATGTCCTAAATGTTGTTTTAGTTAATTGTTTTCATTGTGGTATAGAGATTTGTATTTGCTTCAAGTTTTACAATTATCTTTGTCTAAAAGATAACATTCTTATTTATATCTTTTGCAGGACAAACCAACAAGATGAATTAGAAGTTCTATAGGTGATGGGGAGTTGGACGAGGAGCCTGGGGATCCAAATGGAAAAACCCATATTTAATTTCACTGGTTGCTGTGGCTTGTACATCTAGGTTATTGGTTTTCTTATTTCCAGTATGTTGTAAGGTATCAAATCAGTTTCATAATGTTAGTCCAGCTGTAGCAGAAAGCTGCATGGTTTGGCCTTTTTCTTTGATAGGACTACTGGAGGTATGAATATCTTACATTGTACAGAAACACAATTTTTCCTCAGGTTTTAGGGCATCGATGGAAGGTGGTCAGCTTCACATCTTACTTATACTACTGTGTTTTGATTATCTGAGTATTCTGTTAATTGGTATTACGATTAATCCAACTACCATTAGGTTTGTGTTGCTATATTTGATGCAACCGTATATATATGTAATAGTATTCTTATGAAAACGCCTACCGATTGGTTTAATGTTGTTAGAAACCTTTATGAACTTGTCTTAAATAATTAATACCAAATGGTTAAGTCTGAAACACTTAAGCAAACTCAGTAGACAAGAACAACATGGTTTAGGTATCATAAAAAATAATATAGGTTCACCAAATTATACAAAGCAAACAGAACGTACCAAAAATCTATATCTTGTGGATGCTTATCGTCCTGGGTTGTCTAATGAAAGTGATAGGTTTGTTGGCGTTCCACTGTATTTAGTATTTGATGATGAACTCTGAGCCGGGTATAATTCTGCTTGTTCATGCAACAAGCTCAAAGCCTGCTCACAGTTAGCTTGACCCCATGGATGTTTCTCAAGTTTTCTCAACTCTATCAGCTCTATAAGCACTTCTTTCATTGAAGGTCTTTCATCCCCCCTCAACTTCAGACATCTCATAGCCAGGTCGGCAACTGCTATCAGCTCTTCTCTATTCTCCTCGTTTGCAAGTTCGGGATCTAGGATCTGGAGGAGACGATCCTGTTGCATTGATAAAATGAAGTAAGAAGATAGGTTTCTTTCAGGCTCTGGTCTTGCAAAAGATACTGGCGTCTCGCCAGTGAGCAGTTCCACTAACACAACCCCATAGCTATAAACATCACTCTCTGCTGTCAATTGGCTTGTCTGGAAATATTGGGGGTCCAAGTAACCAAGTGTACCTTGGACTAATGTAGTAATTTGAGTTTTATCGATAGGAATCAACCTTGAAGCTCCAAAATCTGACACTTTGGTAATATAATTTTCATCGAGTAATATGTTGGCAGTTTTGACATCTCGATGGATGATTGGAATCGAGGCTGCAGAGTGAAGGTAAGCAAGTGCGCTAGCAGTTTCGGTGGCGATCCTTAGACGGATGTCCCAGGAGATTGAGGCTGCCTTTTCGGAATTGTGAATGTGATAGTGGAGGCTTCCATTGGGGACAAATTCGTAGACCAGTAAAGGGACTTCAGTCTCCAAACAACATCCCAAGAGCTTGACTACGTTTCGGTGGTTGATTTGGCTAACAACAACAACTTCATTGATAAATTGTTCAATTTGGGAACGAGTTTCTATTTTCGACTTCTTGACAGCAACTATTTGATCGTCTCCTATGATACCTTTATAGACCGTTCCATTTCCTCCTTCGCCGAGGATTCGATTCTTAGAATAATTATCGGTAGCCTTTGCCAACTCCTTGGCCGTAAAAATTTTTGTTGTCTCAACAGCACTTTGACGGGAAGAATTTTTCTGCTGCAATAATAGTCCCCCATTTTCAAGAAAGAACTTTTCTCTGAGCTTGATTAGTCTTCTTCTCTTTAAGAAGAAGTAAGTGGAAAACACTAACAGAAGCAGAACCAAAACACTGACGAAAGCTGCATGAATTAATCATATATATATATATATATTAAGAGCTCTTCCTAGAAAAGAAACAAAAAAGAAATAAAGCAAAACGGTGTGTTGAGTTATATAGTTACCTAGAACAGGCAGGAGCAGCTGAGAAAGAAATTGCTTGCAATGATAACTTCCTGGTGTATTAATACACTTATGATTGCCTTCACATGGATTATTAATGCACTCATCGATGTCTTTCGCCAAATAGAACAAATGATATCAGTATATATATATATATATATATATATATATATAGGTTACTGACTTATATATAGTAGTATTATGGAGGAAACATGAGCATTAATTTATAGGGGAAATTAAAAAAAAATTGACAGAAACATGATGTACTGGTTATATGCTCAAACTTCAACAGCATTTAGAATATTAAAAAGATTAATTATAGACGATGTTGAACAAGGGTGATGAAAGAGTTGAGTAGTATATAGGGAACAATAAGTAAGCCATACCTTGGCATCCCTGACTACAATAAGGGTTCCCTTGGTAACCTTGGTTGCAACTGCAGCGATAACCTTGACTACCCTTCACACAGTGGCTATTCCCCTTGCAGGCATAAGTGTTCAAGTCTCTTCGAGCTTCTTTGCAAGTGTGGTTGCTCACAATCCAATCAAGAACCACTGTAGAATGCTGTATCTTAGTCAAAAATTTGTTATCATCACCAAGATCAGATGCCTCGAAACTATAGTTGTGTTGGTCCACTAAGAAAGCAGATCCACAACGATAGGGCACCGAGATCTTTGTTTCATTAAGCACTTCCTTTATTTTTGATTCATTGGTGAGAATGTTATCCACATACGTTTGAACTATTTTAAGACCATCCGTAATAGGGACCTCGCAGCACCCAATCCCAGAGCAAGATCCGTTAGTCTTGTCCTCGCGCTTAACGTGACACAAAGAGAGGCACCCAGTGAAAAGCTCTCTGTTTCCAAGTTTGATCGTGCCCAGAGAGTTACATCCAGTTACAACGAACTTGTTTTGAGACAGTGCGAATGGAGTATCAGTCAAATTAATCATGGCTGTCGGTCCATCAGTTTCAGATCCATTGAGTTCCGAGCAGGTATGAGCCACAGATGCAGGGACAGAATTCCTTACTCGTACCCGATTTTCAGCTATAGAAATGTTTACTACCTCATATTTCGTAGCATCTAAAAATGCTTTTGCTGGGTTTATGGAAGTGTTGCAAGTAATGCGAAATCCCTTTAGATAGCTTCCCTTTTCTACGCCAAAAGGGTAAGGAATTTTAAGATGTCCACAACTGGAACTGCAGTGTTTAGGCGCCTTGGGTTGTTCTTCCACAGCTACTACAGCTGATACCATATATGTTGCCAAGACGAGCCATTGGAGCTTCGGCAAAGGATGCTTTAACGAAAACATGCCTTTCTTTTATGGTTGCGAAATATCAAATGACTAATTATAAGCAACTGATTCAAGATAATATAAAATGTTATGACAGTGCTATATAGCCACTCATCTTATACAATCATTTCACACACTCACTTCTTATTTTAAGGATTTATGTGAAAGATATTAAAATTTGTATAAATATTTTTTAATATAATTTTTAATATATTTAAGTAAATTTATATATAAAATAATTATTTTTGTTTTATAAAAATTTAAAATATATATAAAAATTAATAAAAATATATAATTTGATTTGATTATTTTTTTAATTTTTTATATTTAAATTTTAAATTCGATTCAAATTAAATATATATTTAATATTTAAAATTAAACTAAATAAAATTAAAAAAATAAATTCAAATCAAACTAACTACTAAAATTTTAAATTAATTTTAAAATTTTTTTTTATTTTTTCACTTCTAACTTTTTTATTGTAATTCTTAAATATTCACTCTTATTCTATATATAAAAATTATGACCGAGGATGGATCATGGGAAAAAGTCTGAAGGGATATGTAAATATAAATTAATTGAATAAATTTCAATAATTGGTGAAAATAATTAAAATTTAAGGTTTGAATATAAAATATTCAAATTGAAATTTTTATGATGTATTGATAGATAATAAGTAAATTTAAAAGATTTTACAAATTTTATAAATCTTCTTATAAATTGATGATTTATCTTAATTTTAAAGATAAAATATTTTTTTATTTTTAAATTTTTTTAATAAAAAAATTAACTGTATAAATTCAAAATATAAACTGTTGGGAAAAACAACACCCACGCGTAGTAACCATATACACAAAATAACAAGCTCAAATCAAGAATAAGAAAATACAAATATATTTGGTTCAGCCCAACTCAAAATGGCCTACTCCAAACCTAATCCACTATCAAATAAATATTTACAATTGTGAGACTTTTAGAATGAGAAAAGTCTCCTAAAACTCCTTACTCAAAACTTAACCCAAAACCTAATTACACCCTTTAATAGCCTACTCATTTAGCTATTTTCTTGGTGTCTAACTCTCTGGGGTTACTAAACTAAAACCAAAACATCTTATTTATAAGGTGAAACCCTTTATACTTTTACTAAACTCCCGATGTGGGATACAAGACAAACTCAAACTCACTTAACTTTCGATGTGGGATTCTGAGATTCAAGGCAAATCCCAACAAATCCTCATTTGACTTGAATCTCTAAACACTTCAACAGTATCTATAAAGCTAACATGCTTACCTTTCTTCTTTTCTTTCATCACAGGCATTCCAGCAACTGAGCCTCCATCAAACATGTACAAGTGATTAACCCTATTCCCTTGTAGAATCACACTATCATTCTTATACACTTTCAACCAATAATTACTATCATAAAATGTGTACCCCCGAGAAGCTAATTCACCCAAAGCAATCAAATTGTAGTGATAATTTGGTACATACCTTACATGACGAAGTGTCCTAATAACACCATTGTGAGATCTAAGGCGAACACTCCCAATGCCTTGAATCTGCACCTTTTCTTTGTTAGCAACCACAATATCCCCATACTTTTCATTCTCATTCAACTCCACAAAGCAACTCTTATCATTGCAAACATGAACTGTAGCAGCTGAATCTAAAACCCAACCTTTATCACTTTTCAAAGTCTGGGTCTCATCCACACAAGTTATCAAAATAATATCATCATCATCAGACACGACAGCAGTAGTATCACTCTTTTCTTCATCTGATTTCTTCTCATCATTCGCCCTTTTGAAAACAGCCATATCGCTTCTCAACTTCCTGCAGCGCACTTGGATATGTCCCTTCTCACCACAATAATAACATTCTACATCACTGTAATCTCTGTCTCTTGACTTGGATCTCCATCTTGATCCATCAATCCTCTTTTGAGTTCTCTCTCGATCAAAACCCTCTACAGCTAGTGTACTCCCTCCAGGTGATGAGTTCTGAGCTCCCATAAACCTTTCATTCTCATGCAATAGAGTAGTTACATCATCCAACTTTAAAGTAGACCTACCTACCAACACAGTTTGAACTAAAGGCCTATAAGACTTAGGCAAAGATGACAGCAAAATTAAAGCATTCTCTTCATCTTTTAACTCATCAATAGAAATCGCTAGCAATTGAGAAACCAATCTGTTAAACTCATTCAGGTGATTATGAAGACTCATACCTTCTTCCATCTTCAGAGAATATAGATCCATCTTCAAACATAATCTATTAGTTAACGACTTCGAAGCATAAATACCTTCAAGCTTATCCCATAAACTTTTTGGAGTACTCTCAGTCAACACACTGTATTTTACCTCTGAAGCTAGCGCCAATCTAATAGTACTAACAACCTTCTTTTGAATCCTATTCTAATTAGCATCAGACATCCCTTCAGGCTTACTATTCTCTAATGCCTGATCCAACCCTTGTTGTACTAACAGATCTTGAATCGTACTTTACCATAACATAAAATTACTCTTTCCATCAAATAACGGAATCTCAAACTTAGGCATAGACATACCAAACATACCTTCTTCAGACATCTTCAAACACTGCTTCATGATCTCTTGGGCCCACGAACCTTAAACCTCGAACCTCGCTCTGATACCACATGTTAGGAAAAACAACATCCACGCGTAACAACCACACACACAAAATAACAAGCTCACATCAAGAATAAGAAAATACAAATATATTTGGTTCAGCCAAACTCAAAATGGCCTACTCTAAACCTAATCCACTATCAAATAAATCTTTACAATTGTGAGACTTTTAGAATGAGAAAAGTCTCCTAAAACTCCTTACTCAAAACTTAACCCAAAACCTAATTACACCCTTTAATAGCCTACTCATTTAGCTATTCTTTTGGTGTCTAACTCTCTAGGTTACTAAACTAAAACCAAAACATCTTATTTATAAGGGTGAAACCCTTTATACTTTTACTAAACTCTCAATATGGGATACAAGATAAACTTAAACTCACTTAACTTTCGATGTGAGATTATGAGATTCAAGGTAAATCCCAACATAAACAATGAATTTTTATAAACAAAGTTGTAATTTGAAATAAAAAATTGTAATAAGTGTCATAACGTCTAGATCCGGGAATCTATCGCTAGACATTGACTTTAGGGAGTCGCCACCAATCTTTTTTATCTAGGTGCGATTGGCCACCTAAAGAATCTGTCCTTTTAGGGAACGCCTAAGTTTAAGGACCCCTAAAAGAATAGGTTCAGGTCTACTAACCAGAACAGGGTTCGGGAGTTCAATTACGTGTGAGGAAGGTTATAGCACCCTCACAACGCCCATCAAAAGATGGTACCAGCTTAAATTTGTGTTATCCAAAAGCCTTAAAATTTTACCAAGTAATTAATTATTGAAAATTTTTCTTAATTGACTCTAATACTTTTAGCAGAAAATTGAAAAAATTCCTTCACCTCAAGAGTATGCAAGAAAAATTACTGTTTCACTTACAGAGGCTCCGTCATCGGATTAGTTAAAGAAAAATCAAAATCAAAATCAAAATAGAAAGGAAGGAAAGAATGATTGTTCTTGTGTAGAGAAAATTGATACTTTCAACTTTTCCCCAAAAATACTTTTTTGGAAATTTATTTTTAAGAAAAATTGATACTTCCAACTTTTTCTCAAAAATATTTTTTTTGAAACTTTGATTTTCAAGAAAAATTGATACTTTTAACTTTTCCTCAAAAATCCTTTTTTTAAAAAAATTATTTTTAAGGAAAATTGATACTTTCAACTTTTCCTTAAAAATATATTTTTTTTGAAACTTTGATTTCCAAGGAAAATTGATACTTTCAACTTTTCCCCAAAAATACTTTTTGATTTTTATTTAAAGAAAATAGAACAAAATAAAAGTGAAAATAAATAAAGATAAAAAAAATAAAGAAAAGTAAAACAAAAATAAAAATAAGATAAAGATAAAAAATATTAAATAAATCTAATTTAATAAAATAAATAAATAAATAAAACAAATAAATAAAAAATTCCAAAAAAAAAAAATCTGGAGCGATTCGGCTATCGGCTCGGCTCAGCTCAAGGAAGAGAAACGGCTCGGGGGGCGGCTTGGGAAGCTCGGCTCGGCTCGACTTGGCTTGGAGGGGGGCCAGGCACGCGCGGGTCAGGAAGCGGGTCGACGCTCGGATCGGGTCGGGTCTCGGTAAAGCGCACAGATCCTCTGGGTCACTTAAGGCCAAAACGACGTCGTTTTGGAAGGGTATATAAGGACTTTCACTCTATTTTTTGGCGGAAAGCTCCTCCCCTCTCTCTCTCTTCTTCCTTTTTTTTTCTCCCTTCTCTCTAAAGGCTGAAGAACTCCGGTTGAATTTCGTCGTTTTCTGAAAAATGTCGTCAGAATCTAGAAAATTTCATCGAAAGTTCATCGGAAGTTGGCCGAAAGGTTGTTGGTTTCTGGAATTCTTCGTTGGAAATTGGGTAGCTCACCGAAAAATTCAAATTTGATCGGAATCTTCGTCGAAAAATTTAAATTTCATCGAAAAATTCAATCGAAATTTGAAATTTTCCAGAAATTCCCAAACAAAAATCACCAAAAAATCTTCAAAAAATTCAACTAACTCTCAGAACACTCATAAACTTTTTCTTAGCTTTCTATACGCCTCTTTTTCTCTCAAATCAGTAGCTTTGCTCAATGTTTTTTCTCTGTGTGTTCTGCTTCTGTTCCCAGAGGGTCCCTTTTATAGGGATTGATCAGGAGTTCCTGATCAATCCCAATTCCTCTTTGGATGGGGATTCAATCTTTGAATTCAATCTAGACTCTTCTGATTGAATCCTCATTCACAGTAGGATTCTTCAACTTTCAATCACAGCCCTCAAAAAAAGAAAAGAAAAAAAATAATCAGATAATCGAAAAAATCAGATAAATGAATAAAAATAAAATTAACAGATAATTAAAAATAAAATAAGATAAACCCAAAAAATATTACAAGATAAAAAAAATAATATAATAATAAATATATAACTATATAAATAAAATACATATAAATATTAACAAAATAAAATAAAA